CAAGATCAGACCTCCAGAGGAAGAGAATGACACCACGAGTTTCTAATTTACTGGTTTTGACACTAGATGATGGGAAGTTGCCTAACTACTTTTGTTCTGTATGGCAAAGAGGCCTCCGAAGGCTAATGCGAGTATGAGTAACCTAGATCTTCTGTTCTTTCTTCACAGTGATTTTGACCAGCTTCCAGATGATGTACCTGTTTCAGCTAACATTGCAGATATTGAAGAGAAGAAAGGTTTTACTAACTATTATGTAAGAAGGGAGATTTATCCTGTCTCTGTATGCCCTCATCTGTGACTGTTTTTGTGCCGGGAAGTAAAATGCAATTAATCTGGTGTAGTTGCATTTTGACATGAATGGTTCTGTGCAAAGAACTTGTCAGTGCTTCTTTTTTTCTGGAATGGAGGTTCATCCGTGGCAGATTTAGTCTAAAAATTTATTGTCTGGTTTAAATGTGACAGAGGTATCCTCTAATACTGCTTGTTTTCTAAATTCTTACCTAATTGCTGATTTATTTCCTGTCAGACCCCTGTACCTTTGGTGAAGATAGTGGGAAAAGCATTCAAAGAGGGTCGAAGGGCAGGGTCTTGTCTTCAGTATTGCATGGTACTGGCAAGTTAGGATGCTTCCATCTCCATAGAAGGTAGCATATTAGTAAGTCATGAATGAGCACACAGGAAGGAAATAACAGGGAAAAGCACTATGAGATTTACTGAAGAGGGTTTTTGGGTAAGACCAGCTCAGTCTGACTTCTGTAGGGTATGCTGCTTTTGCTGGAGACATTGCTCATAAAACCTTCCCACTGCAGTATGCAGGTCTTACTCTGGAACGTAGTGACGGTTGGTTGCTCTGTCTTTATGCTTTCTGAAGGATCTGACTGCAACATGACTCAGAGGTCAGTGCATGGAAATTGTGGGCTCCTTTAGAGGAAAGCTATTTTGGCAAGAGATAAGAAATAAGATAGAGGTTGGACGAGGGCAGTAGACGCAAGGCGAGTAAGTTCTTTTTTCTGGCCTTAACTTTGGTCAGATCATAATTTCTGAAACTGTGTGGTTTAAAGTCAAAAGGAAGAAAGAATGCCTTCAACTCTGAAAATCAATTAATTTAGGTGTCTGTTTATAGATTTAGATGCCCAAAGCATTTTACATCTACTGTAAAATATTCGCTAATACTTCCCTAATAGTATGTTTTGTTTGTCGCTGAAGGAAGGTGTGTAAGGATAAAATAGCATCTAGTAATTTCAGGTTTCCTTTTAAGATTATGTAATAGGAAGCAGCTACAGGACTATGATCCATGGGAAAGGTGGACCCCAATATATAGCACCTGGTCTGGTGCAAACTTGTTTTTTTTCTAGTACTTGACTCTGCAGATGCTTAACTGAAGCCTTGCTTTCCACTCTGCCCCTAAGACAATATTCCCACTACTGGAGCACTGATCTTGTGTTCCTATTGTATGTCTCACTTTCATTTAGTAAGTATTTGCAAGTATGAACACCAGCCTGAATCCCCCTTCTCTGTTTCAGATGTTTGTCATTGAAGTAAAGGTTAAAGGTGGTGGCAGATACCTGATTTTCCGACGCTATCGACAATTCTATGACCTGCACACCAAACTAGAGGAGAGATATGGGGCAGAGAGCAAAACCGGCCCTTTTAGCTGCACGCTCCCCATATTGCCAGGTAAGCTGTCAGTATCAAATCTGTGCATGATTAGCAGCTCTCTCAGCCCCAGGCTGTCCTAAAGAGGAATGCATCGCAGGTAAGTAGTTATGACAAGGAACTAGTTCCCAGCTGTGGATGCTGGAGAAGTCAAGTTCCATTGACAGCGCCTCCCTTTGTGGTAAACTTCATTTAGAAACCTAAATTACTTTAGAAAATAAGTATTTGCTTGGAGGTCCTACTTTCTCCCAATTTCTCTGACAGCCTTTTTTTTTTTTTTTTTCTTCAGTAACTGTCACAGGTTTTATATTTTCTAGGAAAAGTTTATGTTGGGGCCAAAAAGGAAATTGCTGAGAACAGGATTCCTATCCTAAATGCCTACATGAAGGTAAAACTTAATTTTAAGGTATAGATTGCACTGAGCACTGCAGATACTTACCCCTTGAACTCTGCTAAGAGCGACAGTACTGTTGTAGTCCTAGGTATCCGCTTCTCTCTGTATTGTTTTTCCTGAAGACACAGTGTCCACACCATGGGACAACATGCAGTCCTGTTCCCCAGATTGTTCAGGCTGTAGGATCTGCTGGAGTATGCAGATCACAAGGGCTCACTCCCTGACATCATACATAAATAGGTATCCTTACAAAAAAACCCCAAGGATGTGTGAGGAAATAGTTTATCTCCAGGTGTTATGTGAATATTGAGTGGGTATGTGCACCTAAGAGACTAGGAGAGCGGGCTGGGCTTCTGGGTGTACCTGCTCTACAGTGAAGGTACAGCCAGTGACATCGAGGAGGGAAATTCTTTGTGTGCAGGTTAACTGGAGACCTGACTTTAAATCAGGAGAAGTCTGAAGCACTGACCAAGGCTTCCAGTACTTCAGATTGCCTTCTTTCCACAGTCATTCATGTTCTGATGGGAAACACAACGAGCAATTTACTCCTTCTGCAGTAAATCAGGCACAAAAAGAGTGAAGCAATACATTGGCCAGCTCCAGTAAAATGGAGAAACTGTCAGCTCTTCAGCGGTGTCCTGCTGAGTGAGAAGGGAGAGGGGGGAGGTTTCTGGCAGTGAAGAATATCCTTCGTGATCCTGTAGGTCAGCGAGGCATATTTGTTACATGTAAATAAATAAGGAATTGGTCTCTCCCACTGTTATACTCTGCTTCCTACTTGGGCTTGGCACAGAACCTACTCTGCCTACCCGTTTGGGTGTTGATGGATGAAGAGGTACGACTGTTCTTCTACCACTCAACCTTTGATGGTGAACAGGTGCCTCACAGACTGAGACGGCTTCGCCCACGTACACGCCGAGTGTAAGTGATTGACATGTTTTTCAGCATTGCTTGATGTAAGAGACGTTGTCCCGTTTTGGGGGGAGAGTGAGATGAGGATCACCACTGTGTTTCCCAAATGAGTCCATTAAGTCCTAATATGAGGATCTTTGTGGTAGAATGAACACAGGCTATTTCTTGTTTTCAGTAATCTCAAAACTTTAAAGTGGGTGTGGTACTTGCATTAAAGGAAAATTCCAAAATGAGAGTATAGCTTGCTTTTAAAGAAATGCTGCTCGGCTCTATCAGCTGATAATTCTTCAGTGGCAATACCTATTACAATATGCAGAATATACAGGCCAAGCTTAAGGACATAAGCTTGCACCACTGAAGTCAACATGAGTTTTGGCACCAAATTGAGTGAAATTTGGTTCAGACACTAAATGTAACTGAACACTTAATTTGTCCCTGTCCATTGTCTAAATGGTGGCCTGTCCTACATAGCAGCATTGACACTCCTTTGGAGAACTGCTAAGTAGACGTCACACTTCATTACCCTGCAGACAAATTAATTCTCCTTCCAACATGGCAAAGATGGACCTGCTTCCTTTTCACTTACCTCAAGCAGTGCAAAAACTGCCTGTGTGTATGCATTCCTGGATGTGTGTATGATGGCAGAATTTGAACTGAATGCCATAAATGCTAGAAACAGGGATGCCCAGAAGGCAGAGTAGGGGGGCTGAGCAGTGCTGTGGAAGAGAGGTCCAGGATACTGACTATTGAAAATTCCATCTGTTCTCAGCAGCAGACATCATCAGATTGCTGCTGCTCTGTACTGAAACTGAGAGAACTAGGGCAGTGTTGTTTCATCCACATTTATTTACTTCAGTGCTGCACACAGATTCTCACGCAGTGTCTCCAGTGATCTATGGCTTGCCTGCCTCTTAAATAATGAAAATGCAGGCACTGTACTACCGATTGTGAAGTATTCTTGATGACTAGAAAGATACGTTCACATCCCTGTTGTCTCCTTTCTTTGCAGTAAAAGCATTTCACCTCAGGTGTCTGGCTTTGACCGCATGGCAGCCCCACGGGCTGAGGTGAGTTCTTTGCAAAATCTGTCATAGGATAGGAGACTAAACTCTGTTTTACTCTGGTATCTCATTGATCAAGTTGCCTTTTCCAATCAGAGCTTGGGGAAAGAAGAGAAAGTAAAATCGACACAGGAAAAAAATTGATTTTAACAAGAAGGAGTGAAACAAAGGATGGAAAGAAGTGTTCTGTTCCTACTTACTTGAGTAATTAGAAGGTCCATTGTGAAGTCAGAATGATGGGAGGTTCAAAATTGAGTGACATGTACAGCTCACTGCCAAATGGTCCACATTTACACAGTGATACTCATAAATTAATTTTATACCAAGCACAACCTTCAGCCTCATTGGTTTCAGCAGATGTTTAAAAGCTTTGCAGGTATCTTAGTATTTTCAGTAACATAAGCCTTCTACTGAAAAGTGCCTATACCCTTGTCTTTCACTGTATATTGTCTTGATATTAAGCACATGGAACAGCTCTGTAACCAGTACTTGTCTGAACATGGTCTTGCTTCCCGAAACATCTGATTTTGCCATATAAGATTAAAAAAATCCCATGCAAATGCTTTGAGATCTGTTGTTTTTTACACAAAGTATGGCAGGTCTTGGATCAGTCATACCTCTTGAGTTATATCTATTGATTTATTAATATTGAATATACCTGCCAAAACTTTTCAGGAGATGAAAAAAGGCTTTTGAAAGAGCTATTAAGCAGACATATCAACTACTGGCACAACAGTAGCCATTGTCTATTTTTTCATTAGGAGAACTCTTGGCATTCACAAGACCAAGAGAACCATCTCAACAGAAAATAAAGACCAACTTTTCATTTTTGGTCTTCTAGGAGCATTTAAATGGCTACTATGTTCTCTAAGGACAATGGGGGAGATGTGCATTTTTGATAGCTTGCCACTTTAATTACTTAAGAACAACTTGTTAGAGTGGTAGCATGTGCTTATTGCTCTTCCATCCTACCCCCTCCCCCCCCTTTTTTTTTTCTTCCCTGAAGGGGGCATCTAAGTTCCATTTTAACTACATATCAATATCCCAGACTTCCTCAAATCTCTCAGTTCAGTATACAGGCAGAAAGCTAGATGTAAAAACAACAGTTAGTTACCCTTAAACTAGGACACAATACCTCTGCAGTTTTTTAAGGCTCTTGGTGATATTTTGCAGCAAATCTGAAAGCTGTAAAACTGCAACCAGAAATAGTATATATATTTTTTTAATTGTCAGGATTTCAAGTTGTCAGTTGTCTTCAGCTCTGTTGAGTTACTTGCTCTTAAGTGTTTTCAACTTCTGTATATTTATTTCGCTAGTGCTCAGTGTCCTGCCACTTCACGAATCCTAGCATGGAGGATTCTCAGAGCCATGCTTATCGTAGTGCTTTCACTATTTCTTCAAAGCATTTTTGTGTGTGCTGAGTAGAAGAAGAAATTGTGAGAACTGCAGACTACGGTCATATATATGTCCTTAAACCAGAAATACCTCTGATGACAAAGTGCATACTATTGTGCTGCTTTATGCTCTCACCCAAAGAACAGAACAGAAAGAAAGATTACTTTTATAATTCTCTGAATTATTAATTTCATTGTTACTGCTTTCCATAGGCACTGTTTGATTTTTCTGGAACCAACAAACTGGAACTCAGCTTCAAGAAGGGAGACTTGATATATCTACTCAGCAGAGTAAACAAAGATTGGTTGGAGGTAAGACTGCAATAGCAGTACTGAATTATTAGCATACCTTGAAATATATGAGTAGATAGGGGGTCTCCTTGTCCCTGGGACCTTTCTCCTTTCAAAGAGAACCTGTATCATAATCAGGTCTTACTGTCAAGAATAAATCTTTGAATCGAAATTTTAAATAGTTTCCATCCTTGATGGTTTTTAGCTTATAAATTTTCTGCCCTCTAGACTTCAGTTTTCATTTGCATTTGCTTCTGCTGGAATGTTTTTAAATTCTTTGGAAGTGATTAGAACACAAAAAGGCCACAGAAAGGAGATGGAAACTCCATTTCAGCCATTAATTGGTTTCTTGCCTCAGGGTGAGTTGCTATATACTTCATGCTTCATGCCACAACACACGTCAGCCTGATTAGGGAGAACTTGGGCAATGCGGCAGTGTTCTGAAAAAGGATGAGGAGAACATACTGTGTGTTTGCTGATACGGTATCGCTGCTTGCTCAAACACCACAGCCTTCCGTGGTAACCATCTGACTCTAATTTTTTACACGCTGTTTCACTCCCCTGCCTTGCATTTGACTACACAATTGTGTAATCTTTTTGTAGAGATGCCATCAGGTCAATTCCATAGCCTTTCTTTTCTTGATTATTGTAGAAAAATTCTTACTGTTGCTTCCATGGAAATCAATGGAATTCCAGAACTTACTGTATGTGGCCAAAATGGGATGGTTTTCTTCATTCTAACACTTCTTATAATTCCAGGGTACAGCTGGTGATGCCACTGGGATTTTCCCATGTGCTTTTGTGAAGATCATAAAAGACTTAGCACAGCAGGAAGACACAGTTAATAAAGTTCGTTGTTATTACCATGATGAGACTGTGAGCACTATCAGGTAATAAGAAAATAGTATTCCAGTTTTCTGCTGAAGAAATGCCTACAATTCTCTTTCCATGTTTTGTAATGATTAGATTTGTCTTGTTACAGGGATATCTCAGTGGACGAGGATCTGAGCAGCGTTCCATCTTTCAAAGATCTCATGGAACTGATGAGGTACAATGCAAGCAAATAGTTATCTATTTAATAGAATTTAAATATTTGCTAGGTTCTTTCCAGTCCTAGATTTTCCACATTTTACCTAGTCATCACCATGTTTTTGGTGTGAAACATTTTCAAGTGTCCTGAAGAAGCTGTGCTTTGAGTTGGCACAAAGGCATCTGTGCCTTGGGATTGTCAGTAATTGTGGAATGCCACACACCTTTAACTCAGTTATGCTGGGTAAAAGTTTCCATTTCTTGTTCTAAGATCAGAGCCATATCCCCTGCAAAGATCTTTTGTGTAATATACTTCTTCAGAAGGCAGGTCGCCGCCTTCTAACGCTAGTGCTATACCAGCTTAGTTTAGTATTGAACATCAAAACATTAGAACCTCAAATATTAGTAATAGGACACCTGTGCTAATAGTCTCCCATTCCTTAACCTGCCCTCCTCTCAAAAACAGCAACCCTATGTAGGCAAAAGTGGGTAGCAACTACAGTCAACTCTTATGTACAGAAATTTTATCAAACTCACAGATTAGTTGTGCCGTGCATGTGGTGTCACTGGAAGTGGTTCTTGGTTCTGACAGATTTCTTAGATTAAACACGACACAGCATGAACGTGGCTGTATGATTTCTAGTTGTCGTGGATACTAGCTGGATCAAGAATGCCAAGACACCCAAGGCTTTGTGTGGCTTTTAGCAGAATGAATTAGATTGACAGCATAATGTTAGTCACGCAGCACCTCCCAGGCATTCCTTCATTTCTGGAGATCAATCAATTTCTTTTCTACCAGACGGGAGTTTGACCAAGATGACATTGTTTTGAATTACCGGGACCGTGATGGTGATCTGATCCGGTTACTCTCCGATCAGGATGTTGAATTCATGGTGTCTCAGAGCAAAAGAAGGCCCTCTGAGAAGCATTTCTTCCCTTGGAAGTTGCACATCACTCACAAAGATGACTTGGGTGTCTACAACACCACTCCAGGAATAGGTGCTGCTCAAACAGTAAGAGCAACGTAAGTGCTTTATAGAGATGTTGCAGTAGGTAGCTATACAGTCCCTCTGTAACCACTCTCTGCAGACAGTTTCCTTCAACAAGCCTTTGAAGTGAGCTTGAAAAGAGTAATTTTAAGTAATATATTACTTTTCAATGTTAAATCTGTACTTAGTCAGCTGCTTCTGCTTTTTAGCCCTCTGTAATAGGTACATCTACATAGAGACCAGAGAATGTGAGGAACAGAGAAATGAAGTCACTGGCCATATTCACAAAGCAAGTCTGTTAGCCTGCAGTAGAGGTTTGGTGTCCTGAGCCCCAGGACCTGCTCTAATCTCTATTCTCACTCCCAGAGCTAATTGTTTGTCCCAAATATTTTCATAAGCTTTTTTCCTAGACTGCCATAATTTTCTTTTCACTCGCTGGTATGAAGGTTTGTGTGCCAGTGTAGTAATTATTTGTGTCGCGTAGGAGTCTGACTGGGCATTCAGAGTTTGTCCTGGAAGCATCAAGAATGCTTTTTCGTATTTCAGTGAGGAAATTGTGGCCCACCTTTGATTTCTTCTTTCCATTGACCAATATTTTGAATCCTGTGAATCCAAACTAGTACACCTGTGGTGTTCCTCATAGACCTATTTTTGTAATTGTACAGACTACTTATTTCCACATTCTGGGAAAATTGATGTGATGCCTATTTGAATAGCAATTTCTTATCTGTCTGTGTTCTGCTTTCTGACACCTCATTGCAAAGTAGAATAAGAAGTTACCGTATCAGATTCTTCAACAAATAAAGTTACATATGAATTTCTTTTATCATTATCATTACTCTTCATGTAAAAAAATCTTTGTCCTTGACCTGCTGCTAAAATCTGTACAGACAAAAGGGAAGATCAACAATTATTTGCAGGTTCTAAGAAACAGTTAACTCACGATACATGAATAACTAACCTGCCCCTCCCAAAACTGGCAAAGTAATGTTTTCTCTTTTACTTAGAAGTTACCTGTAATGCTATCAGGTAACAAGATGTTCAACAACAGAAGTATTTAAGGTGACTTATCCTTTAAACTTGCTTTTTTTTCTTCCTGCTATATATACATACATAGACATTTATATACATAAGCTTTAGTATTCTATTATCTGTAGCCCTGCATTTATGCATGTAAGTGTATTTGAAATAAAGGAAAGAGTTTATATTTAAAGATAAGCAGGTTGTTTGCTATATTGGGATCCATAAATCATTTCTTACTTGATGCTTAAGTGCATAGTCCTAGCAGTATACCAATCCTGTACAGACTTTCTTAAGAAAATGCACTCTCCAGAGAGTTTTAAGATGTGCTGCAGGCCATACCTGCTTTCCAGGTACAGAGGTTCCACCTGAAGAGTCCGTGCATATTCAATTTCAGAGGCAGATAACATGTATTCAAAAGAGACATGGATTATGATTCCTCTCCCCCCCCCGCCCCGGGGGGGAAGGTTTTAGTTGACATTATTTTACTAAAATGTTACAAAATCTAACTTCTGACTTCAAAGGCATTGTAGCAATGGGAATTGGGAAGGAGGTGAAGCAATACACAATGATAATGTTGGTAACATCATCACTGAACGTTTGAAACCCACTTGGCTTGCCTGGCCTGCAAAGCGCCTGGTGTGCAGGACTACCTGTTACCTGTTCCTGGAGTTCAGCAGAGCAAACGACACCTGAAGGTTTTCACTGACAACTAGATCCTGGGGTGTTACCAGCAATTTGTTTGAAGATGGAGGAGCTGTTTGCGTGAGGAAGGACAGGAAGAGAAAGCGTCTGCTGGGAAACAAGAAACCTCTTTTCTAAGGGTGGAGGAAGAACACACATAAACTTACTGGCACCAGGAGATCAGAGGTGGAGAATTCCTTTCTACCTTTATAGAGTAATGCAAAGTAAATTCTGCCCTTCCAGCAAAGGGCAGAATTCACATGCTGCCCCCCTTGTCTGCAGGTTTGATATGCACACCTCCTGATAGCCCCAGTGACACACAATTGCCTCAGATCCTCTCATATTCTCCTTCTTGCTCTCCATTTTCCCCTTACTCACAGCAAACGTTTTTTTCCTTGTATACTGATGTAGTTGTTGTGAGAACCTACCTGTGCTCATTGTGGTTTTGGTCAGTACTACAGGGATTTAGAGGAGGTGTAGTAGCACTGCAGGACAGAGAGACTCTGGCAGTTATTTTCTGTATCTGGGGACTCATCTTAGCTCACCCTGCAGTTTACCCCTGAGAGTGCAAACCTGAGTGTGTCTTTCCCTTGTGGCCACCTGACTTTCCTGTAGATCTTGTTATTGGAGGCTACTGGGCTAAGTTGGGAAGCTGGATTTAAAACAGTGTGGCTGCCTTGGACACACAACAACTCCAGATCGACTCTTCTCACCAGTTTTCTTTTGTTTCTTCTACATACTGTAATTCTTACAATTTATTATTAATTATTGCTGAAATCAGTAAAACTTACTTTAAAAAATATTAGTTAAATTAAAGGGTTGCAGAGTTAAAGGTAGTTCTTTTTCCCAACACCACCACACCACACCCCACACCCCCAGCCCAATACATATGTACAGATAAACGTGAAGAACAGAATGATCTCTGTTCTTCAGTAAAGGAAGAAACATCCCTGGGGTAAAAAGCAGAGAATTCTTTCTTAGTCTTTCTTTGCTGCAGTCAAATCTTTTTTTCTGATAATACATTAGTCCCATGATTGTTGACGTGCAGGTTTGCAATAACCAACTTCCTTCCCCTCCCTTCCCAGTTAAACAGTCCCATCTAAGTAAGTGCATTTGGGGGCTAAAATAGGAAGTAAGCACTTCCTATTTTACATGCAATTACACAGACTTTCCTCGAAAGGGCGGGGTCTGCTTCTTTTTGAGGTGCATAGAAGACAAAGCAGTTATTTCAAAGACTTACTTGCCAAGAAAATCCTGTGGTCAGCCTATACCTTCTGTCTCCAGTCCTGGGGAAGTGTGGTTTTGCTGGTTTCTGCATCAGAAGATTCTGATGCTGTGGGGGGAGGCTGGACAGGGGGAGCCACCCGTCAGGTTGAATCATCTGCCTCAGAGACACCTCTGGATCCAGGTAAGGGAACTGCTTCCTCTCTGGGGAAAGCAAAGTGGCAGAGTCTGCGCTCATGCAAAGGCTTGTGAGTCATTAAAGGATTCCTTAGCGTTGATGATTATTCAAGGACTCAGCCAGCTATTTCTAGTGGCCTTCAGGAATCTGAAAGTCAACAGGAATTTAAAGGGAGTTTTTTCCATACTCCTCTAAATTAGAAGAGTCTCAGCTCTGTAACATACTTGAGTAGGGGAGTTTATTAATCTTTTGAGAGAGCAATGAGAGATGAGCAAAAGGACTTCCAGTATTGAACAGTGTGGTCTGTGGTCTTTGAACTGCTTAATCTACTCTCAATCTCAACAATCACACACAAAAAAGAGTAGCAGTTTCTTTGGTATTACTTCTACAATTTTCAGCTTGTTTGGGGAACAGCTAGAAGAGAAATCTGGAAGTGAATGAATATGGAAATTCAATCCCCATAGCTCCCAGGAGCCATGTGTCTGAGGATCATATTTTTAAGGAAAGGTGAGAAACAGAACACCATTGGGGTTCATTTGTAAGACTTTAAGCACAAAGAGCAGAAGGATGAATGAATTTAAAGGTTGAGTTGTCTTCACAGATTAGGATTGTTTCTTGTTGCTACTCAGCTGAAAGAATCCCTTCACTTCCTTGAAAACGTGCATTTACTTCTTCATTCGTTGCTCATATTGCAAGCTCACGCAATAAGAAAGCATAGATTTTGTCCTACAGTAAATACTTGGTAGAAGTTCTTTCTGAATGTCACTCCAACGTGAAGCCTGAAGAACTTCTGTAATTCAGTTTTACTTCTCTTTATGGGAAATGAAAACAAGAAGCTCCACAATAAGCAAAGCAAGAGAGTAGCCAGTTGCAACTGAAAACAGTTCTCTTCTGAATTAGGATCAAACTTGTGTGTGAAGGACAGCATGATCACGAAAGAGATCTTCATCCTGCTGAAAACAAAGCCTTTCGAGGGTATTTTTAAATTTATATTCTCTTTTATCCTTCCATTATTGCCTTTTAAAAAAAAAAAAAAATCTGTCTCCTCCTTTCAGCTAGTGCTCTTCCTCATTTTCTGCTTGCTTTCCTGCTTTCCTTCTGCCACCATCTTCCGTGCTATGCTTCTGTGTAGGAGAATAGACATCTTGATCAAAACCAGTGTGTAGCAGATGCATGTGCAGACAAGTCAGTTGTAGGCTGGTAGTATGGACAGCTGAAATACTGGATAAATGGACAAGTTGACTGGTTAATGGGTGAATAGGAAGGAGGAATAGACCCTGATAGTGAAAACATGGGAAAATGAAGGGCTGTGTGATTCAGATGGTAGGGTACAATTGTAGAGAGAAGTGGACAAACACAAGACAAGGGGGTGTGTGGGGACTACCAACAGCAACATCCAGATGACTTGATTTTCTTCTTGTGGAATTGCTGACAGATAAAGAGTCCATCTGTCATATCCATTGATTATGTTTGAGTTTAGTGTCTTTCCTCTTCTGATGCAATGAGACCTAGTCTTCTTTTTCTCTCTCTGTTTCTCTCTTTCTCTTTCTTTCGTTCTTTCTTTCTCTCTTTCTATCTCTTTCTCTCTTTCTTTCTCTTTTTCTCTCTTTTCCCCACCCCACCCCACCCCACCCCACCACACCATGTCTGCATCAAGACTCAGCCTGTACCCATCTGATCACAATAAAAGTGCTCTTAGGTGTGGCTCATGGACATCCACCTTTTCCAAGACAGCTGCCAATGCCTGATGTCTGCAGTCCCTGGGGGACTTACGCTGCCTGGCCCAGTGTCAATTGCAGGGCATCTCCCCTTGGGATCTCTGAGGGAGAATATATTACAGTGTAGGTCCGTTTGGTCTCCTGGCGTTCCAAGCCTTAACCTTACATTCAGACCATCCCTTTCTAAGTAGGAAGCTCCATTTTCTGGTTGTGCA